CAGTTAGCGCCTGACCTTAATATCATTAAAGGAAATATGAGAAGTGACACAGCTGCTCTTAATGCATCCTGTGATCCTTACATACAGCAAGATCCTCTAAAACAAAGACAGAGCTGGACTTATTTTACAGCTTTCTACTCTGACATCATTAGATTATGGAGACAGAGAGGGCAGCGTAAACCTCTGACCTGACTTACCAGGTGCAATTTAAAAAATCAGGTGTCATAAAATGTGATGGTCCATTACATACGGCCCCAAGCACCACCATCACGTCCCCCAGCCTTGTTGTAAAACTGTTGCATTTACACTGCTCAAACACAACGGCCCCCTCACCTGATCTCACGGCCCCAGGCAGCAAGCACACTTGCCCGCACAAAGAGTTAGCTGTGCGGACACAGCGACTCTCCATCCAGTCCCCTCCTTCCCCCTCTCTCTCACTTGAAGTCTCTAAGTTCCCTTGAAACTCAGTAGTGTTTCACTCCAAGTGTTTTGCAAGCATTAAGGGAATTATCAGTCATGGTTAAAGCATGAAATCTTCACTGTAAGTGTGATTGTATGGAAAATGATGTAACAACAATACAATGAGCAAAACAAATCCCATGAAAGTAAACTGAAAGTGAATGAATACTAGATAGGCTACCAAGGAAATTTTAATTAATTAATCCCACAGAACGTTACCATAGGCTCCTATAGTTACTATAATGTAACTACAAAAAAATCAGAAATACATATTTTATATAAATACATTTTTGTTTATAAATAGAAACAACTGCAAAAAAAAATAGCTAATAACAATAGCAAGTTGCCCGAGTCAACACTGGAGAAGAGTTTTAATTACAGAAGTGAATATATATCGCTGAAACCACCTTTGGCCCCAAATTCCCGTAAAATTCACATGCAATTTTAAAAATGAACAAAACGCGGCTTCTCTATACCTCAACCAACAAACACCCTCACTTTTTACATGAATGGATTCACAGGAACCGAGAAAACAGACCGAAAGAGTCTCGAAAGAAAGAGTTCCTCTACCTGGCCCCTTTATACAAGACACAAGAGTGCATATCCTACTCTTAAAATAAGAATTTAAAATGATGTAGCCTAGCCTATTCTCTAATGTGCAGCAGCATTAATTTTATGTTAAATGAAATAGGCTACAAGTGGACAATGGTATTAAAGGGACAAATCCGCGGGATGCGACACTGCTAATCCACACCTTCAACTGAGAGTTTCGGGCTCGCGTTAAAGAGTGCTTTTTAAGTACCTTAACTTTCAGAGTGTAAAATTGGAGCAAGCTAGGTAAGTCTTTAAAGTCAATATTAAACCTGATAACTTATAACACATTATATCATTAGTTTTAAGTGTTTGGATATCAGTATGGTCCGATACGCGTATGAGAGGGCTCTCACGCAAAAACACGTGCACACACAAACAAGACGTAAAAATAAACTTACAATCCTTGCGGTATGTTTTGGTGCTCCTGGACTTTTAAATGTAGCCTTTGGTAACGAGATTCCGATGCCTGGAGAAAATGTCAGTCTCGTGGTTTTCCGTACGAGAGGATGGCGTGATTGTCCCTCTGCGCTCTCTGCACTAGCTGATATAGTGCTGCGAGTAACGCCTCCCGAGGCCGATCGGAAAAGTGAATCACTCAAGTTTCTGTCCAACAACAATGTGAGTGGCGGACGTGCGACACATCGGATTTCCACTCCCTGTTAAAATAGCGATATAAACAAAAAGACTGTTCGAATTTCAGAATAAGCTTTTGTGTTTTTGTTTTCGCACGAGGGTTGTTTAGAAAAAAAAAAATCAAAGAAGCATATGCATGCGAAAGTTTTATTGAGGACTTGTAAGTACCTCCAGTTCCACAGGCTGAAATATGCTTCATGTACAAATATTCTCAAGATTTGTATAGGCTATCAGTAAAGCATTTTAGATTTGTAGTTTTTGCACTTTTCAATCATGAATACTGTAACAATAGATATTTTATATTGCTAACATGCCATTCAAATAGTTAAAAATGTCATATATAAATTGATATATTCATATTTGAATGTACCAACTGATCTGTTAAGTACTCTGGTTTGATAATGACTAATAATAAATTAATATCCAAGTATTATAGGGCCTAATATCATAGACTTAATTATTATAATATAATATTACCGGTAATATGACTTAATACTTAATGCTAAAGTCTCACTTAAAATCCAACTTGCAATGTGTAGTTAGTAGCAGGTGAATTTTGTTTTGTTATTTTTCCTGTCCCACGACTGTTTTATTCTTTTTGCATCCTCTTCGCAATCCCTCAAAGACTTCCAGGCAGTCGGCTAAATTTAACCACAAGGAAGCTCACCTGTTCTGAATCTTCAGCTGGCCTCTGTTTAGCTTTAGATTTTCTGGCTAATGGCTAGTGCCTATTGTGTGTGTGATATGGAAAAGTGGAAACTGAATTGAAACATTCGCAACAATATCAATGGAATCTTAATGGATAAATTGTTCAGAAGTTTGGATTGAAATGATGCAGTTGATTGTAGAAGCAGTAGTGCATTGATTCAACTGCAAAACATAATTTGGCTTCCTCTAGGAATGTGAGGGTACTGATGGAACGAGATAAGCCAGATGAATGCAACTATAACCACAACATTACACGGAAAGTGTTAAGTCTTGCCAGCATTATTTTTTGATTGTGTGAATAATTTGGACGGAGATTGATCAATGTGCTTCTCCATGTAAACATATCAAATGAGATGGAACACCTGCCAAAACAAAAAAACACATCAATTGTGGAGCTGCCCCTGAAATAGGAAAATACGCATTAAACATACGTACACATGCAAGGAATTTCCAGCATAACAGTTCCCACATTAAAGGCAACTTCACACCAGACTCACCAACATTTGATTGTTCAGTGGTCTCTTTTTTGAAGACCACGCAGAGTGGAAACCATCAGGTCTTTTTGTGAGAAGCATGCATAGAAATCCAGCAGTTGAAAAACATTTGGTTTTAGTTAGGGGCGTAGTCTGGTAAACCGAGACATGTTCCAAATTAAAGATTGTTAAAATGGTCTTTCCATCTTATTAAGTTTTCACTGGAGTCCATTCTTTGTGTCTGCAGGAAAGGAAAGAAAAAGGTTTTCACAAAATAACACTGGGTTCGGATTAAATACTTGCGGGGGTTTAACACAGCCTGTCTATAAAACAAAAATATCACTAATTTTTTGACAACCTCATTGTTGACAGTTTTATTAACAAATTGCTATCAGCAGTCTGTAGCTGTTCACATCCCATCATAGAGGGAAGCCTGTAAGGGAACACAGAACCCTTAAACATTTATCCATGGTGGGACCACCAGGAAAGTATGAGACAAGGACAAATGATGCATCCATTGATAAATAAAGTTCACATTGCACTTCCACTGTCTGCGTTTACATACCTACCTGCCCACATGGTCTTTTGGCTATAGAATTCAAACAATATGTGGCAGGCAGATCAGACATACTTTTTTTTTGTTTTTTATTGAACAGTTTCAATTTACACACTGAAATGGGGAACAATAAAATGCATATTACAAAATATACACTTTACCAATCACATCTCCATCATACATAAATGTCCATGTGTGTGTATATATATATCTCTCTCTACATACAATAACAAACAAAACAAACATTCTTTAAACATTTGAGGGGGTTTCAAGGAGGAAAATAAAAAAATAAAAAATAAAGGGTACAAAATCTTACCAGTCTTAAAAGGAAAGAGACTCATACATGGTTATATACAATTCCCCAAGGGATTGATTATCTTTGGATAAGTGTTTTAAAGATTCTAAGTATTTTTTTTACATTCATTTTTAAAGCAATTTAAAGAGGGTTTACTGTTATTCCACTTACTTTTGTGTATATGATATTTACCCATTGTAATAATAATGTTTAACATCAATGACATGTTTTTCGAAAGACCATCTGCACAACCAAAAACCAAAACCTGAAACAAATTCAGTGATGGAATATCAGTGTTGATATCAATATTTAGCCAGCTGTAAAGATCCTGCCAGAACTTCAATGTGACTGGACAAGAAAAAAAGAAATGTTCAATGGTTTCAGGCTCTTCTAAACAAAAAACGCAAGGATCTATTCAAAATCTTTTCCGTAAAATTTCGGCAGCTGGATACACATTATTAATAATCCTAAACTGAATATCCTTCATTTTAGGCAGAATTGGCCATTTAAGATAATTACAGAATTTGTTTTTAAATATTTCATTTTCAAATTGTTTTAATTTTAAAGGTGTATTGAAGTCTGAAAATAATTTACATTTTAATACATTGCCTATTACTTTGTTCTTACATTTTTTTGTCCCCAATATATACTTCTCCAATCTTTAACTCAGGCAATTTAACAGATACATTTGAATACGTAAGAGTGTTTTGTATTCAGTTTTAAAGCAAGAGGGATGGCTTTACACAAAGTATTAAATTCTCTAAAGGAACATTTTATCTCAAACTTCTCCATGAATGAATTATGTTGAATAATTTGACCAGTTACATCTAAAAGATCTACAACATATAAAACATTTTTTTCATACCACTCTTGTTTGAATAGGCTACTGTCTTTCTCTTTATTGTAATGGTTCTGTTATTCCACAATGGCAGATCAGACATACAAGTAAAGGAATAGCTCACTTCCAACGTGACAGCAATTATTTCAAAACATGCTGCGTCGGAGGACTCTTCCAAATTGCTTTGTTAACAGCCGAACTGCATTCATACACTGAATGAGCTGAGCTACGCAAGCGTGGCGTCGTATTGTGTTGTGTTGCACAGCGGGATGCCAAACAAGAGCTTCTTAGTAACAGAGGCTTGACATGCTCGCGGCTTATCGGATAAGATAAGAAAACGATGAAAATGAGCGGCTAGAGTTATCATTATGTGTTAGAATCGAAATATGCGTTATAGTTGATATGGTATTGTATTCCGTTTCGATGCCCCCTCTCTCAGAAGCAGTGAAGAGGCTTTGATCTCGTTGCCATGGCAGCTGTCAGAAGCGCAGCGCAAACCGCAGCCTGCCTGGCGCGAGACTTTGTCCAACTCTAGTTAGAAATGCTTAGCTTAACTAATGAGTTCTAATCAAGACTTACTGCTTGGATGCCTTACTTCGCTTCGTTTAACCATTTTAATTTCGAAAGCGGCGGCTTGCAATTATGCTTTCCCTCTAATATTCAAATATAGCACTTTCTAAACTAGCGCGTGGAATCACTAAGGATGTCGCAGAGGTGAGTAATAACTGCCCTTTTACTTTGTGCACTTCACTGCAAAACGAGAATGTTGATGTGATGCCAAGAACCACCATAGTGTTTATAATTAATGAAAATTGTGTAATGTCTGTGTGAGAAAGTGAATATTTGATACAGCTATTAACTCTGTAAAGTTCAGAATTGTCTGTATACGTTTATATCAAGGGAATAGGCTATGCGACATTTCTATGTGCAAAAAAAGGAAGTTGCAAAAGAAGAAAAGAGTTACTAGGAGAAAGTCTACATTGAATTGCAGTTCCTATGACAACACAGAGCCAAACTACTGAGAACCGGCTGTATTTTTGTCCTGAAATAGGAACTATTCAAATCCGCTTTGGTGTAGGTAGAGGTATGCTATTTTCAGTCATCCTACACCATTAGTTTTCTAAAGAAGAGCATTACATTTAGTAGTAGGCTACTGCATGTGTTGATAGCACTTTTTAAATTCCCCAAGCAAGGGGATTTTTCCTCATCATTCACTATTTTCTGTGGACATCCGTTAGTTACTGCAGATTTGTAGTGAACTGTAGTATTTCTGCCTTTGTTGTCTGCCATGTTTAAGATATCTCTAAGAGGCCAATCTATTTTATTGTAAATGTTCTTTTACAACCACCCTTCTAACCTCCTCCCAAAGCTCCTCCCCAGCCCCCCGCCCCCCTCCCGCTC